TCCTTATTGTGCATAGCTCCAGATATAAATATTAAAAAGACTTTGCCTACTTTAAGTAAAACTTTTTAATAATTTATGTTTCATTAATTCACACTGCTTTTCTCATCAACTTTGCCTAAAAAATAATGTTTTATGCCTTTCTGTAAAGTTGAATTATACCAATTCTCTAAATATTGTCAGAATTCTGTTTAAATTCAAAAAATAAAATGTACTGGCCTCAGCGTCTCACACCTATAATCCTGGCACTTTGGGAGGTTGAGGCAGTCAGATCATTTAAGGTCAGGTGTTCGAGACCAGCCTGGCAAACATGGCGAAACTCTGTCTCTACTAAAAATACAATAGAATTATCTGGGCGTGGTGGTACATGCCTGTAATCCCAGCTACTTGGGAGGCTGAGGCAGTAGAATCGTTTGAACCTGGGAGGCAGAGGTTGCAGTGAACTGGGAACATACCACTGCACTTCAGCCTGGTGACAGAGTAAGACTTCATCTCAAAAAAATATTAATTTTTAAAATAAATAAAATAAAAATAAAATGGATGGTGCCGAAGTGATTATATGGTATGAAGGACAATATATACTCTTTAAAGGAGACTTGGCCAGGCATGGTGGCTCACACCTGTAATCCCAACACTTTCACAGGCCAAGGTGGGAGGACTGTTTGAACCCAGGAATTAAAGACCAGCCTGGGCAACATAGTGAGACCCACATCTCTACAAAAATAAAAAAATTAGCTGGGTGTGGCAGCACGGGCCTGTAGTGCAGCTACTTAGGGGGTTGAGGTGGAAGGATCGCTTAAGCCCAGGAGGCCAAAGCTTTAGTGAGTCATGATCATGCCATTGCACTCCAGTCTGGACAACAGAGCAAGACCCTGTCTCAACTAAAAAAAAATCAGCCAGTCATGCTGGTCCACACTTGTGGTCCCAGCTACTCTGGAGGCTGAGGTGAGAGGATTACCTGAGCTGGGGAAATTGAGGCTGCAGTGATCACGCCAACCTGAGTGACAGAGACTCTGTCTCCAAAAATTTAAAATAAAATAAAGGAACCTCTATATATGGGTATAGATAAGACTCTATTTTTCTTTTTTTTTTTTTTGAGATCGAGTCTCACTCTTGTTGGCCATGCTGGAGTGCAATGGTGCAATCTTGGCTCACTGAAAGCTCCACCTCCCGGGTTCAAGCGATTATCCTGTACCAACCTCCCAAGTAGCTGGGATTACAGGTGTGCACTACCACGCCTAGCTAATTTTTTGTATTTTTAGTAGAGACAGGGTTTCACCATGTTGGCCAGGCTGGTCTCCAACTCCTGACCTCAGGGGATCCACCTGCCTTGGTCTCTCAAAGTAAAAAAGACTCTTTTTAAGAATAAGTTTCAGAATCGAGAAGGGGCAAGGGGAGGCATTAGAAAGCAGGAGTATGAGGAAACTTTATCGGGTGACGAATATGTTCATTCTTGATTGCAGTAAAGGTTCACAGGTCTATAGACATGTCAAAACTTAATAAATTATACACTTTAAATATACGCAGGTTATTGTATGCCACTTATACCTCAATACTACCATTAAAAAAATAAATAAATTTCTGAGGCCTGAAAACCAAAACAATAGTATAACAATACTGTCTCCAAACAGTCCCAGAAAAAGACTGAGATACTATATAATGCAATGAAAGGTTTGAGGATATAAGCAAGTGACTGATTCACAATTCCCTTCAGAAAAATGGCACAGGATTGCAGAAATTAGGTAGCAAAAATGCCAAATTGAGAACACAGGAATCTGCTTTGCCTAGAGCCCCTTTCACTAATTCAGTTCATGTGCTCAGCATGTGTTCAGCATGTGCTGAGGCAGGGCTGGAAGAGAAACCACAGTCATACCAGGCAGACACCCAATCTCAGAAGTCATAAACTGACCACCCCATCAGGCATCACTGACATGTTTGGTTTGGTCCTCACTGTTGGAAAAATAATCTTTTTTAATTAGTTGCCAGCATCTAAAAATTCAGAGATCTCTTCACCCAAATTCTGAATGTTTTATTTTTCTCAAAATATCAAAAGATCTGGTAACACTTGGGCTCATGTTTCCAACCTAGCAATAGGCCAGGCACTCTGTTCAGTCACGGACCACTGGACTCAGTCTTCCTATCGTTCTGTCTCTGGCAGCTTCACCCATTTATCACAATGCTTTGATACTATCTAGGGGCTCATCCCCCCCATGAAAGTCAACTGCCCTTAATTAGAGGTGTAACTCTCACTACAAAGGGTAAGGAACTATCCTACCTAAGCAACCAGTGGCAGCCAACAGAAGGCTAGACTCAAGCATACCTTTTTGGAGAAAGATCAATAATAAAAACAAATCCTGAAAACTGGTTCTTGGGGCATTAGTTTACAACTTCAATGGAGAAGCTTCTGACAGAGAGAATTTCCCTACTGAAGATCCTTCTCAGCTCCAACCCCCTCAACCTTCAAACACAAATGCATACACAGTCCCAGCTCCCTCCCTAGCCTTCCCCTCCCTCATTCTGCCAGGTAATGGAATGGTAACAGGATTATTTGTCATCCTGCCTCCAGCTTAAGATAAAGAAAACATTCTTTAAAAAAAAAAAAAAAAAAAAAAAAACTTGTTTAAAGGCAAAGTCCCCAAGGTATAATCACACAAATTATTACAGGTCAAAAGGGGTCAGAAACCTATACTCATTCAATGAATAAACAACCAATATTTTATTTAATCATTATATAATGAAAGCATTAATATTAAAAAGGTTCAAGGTAAGATTTGTTATCACTATTACTTGACATTTTTCTAGTCAATGCATAAAATAATAGAAAGAACTATCACAAAGAAGTCAATTTAAAAAACAATAAAAAATAAACCTCTTAGTATGCATGCAGACGACCTCATTCCTACAAGACCCAAGAGAAACTACTTTGTATTTTTAGTAGAGACAGGGTTCCATGAAAACCAATATGTGAATTCAACAAGGTGACTGAATGGTCACAAAATTAATATACAAAATTACAAGTGTTCATGTCAGCAATAATCATAGAAGAAATAGGATGAATTAAAATTGAAACATAATAGCAAACAAAAAAATTAAATATACTCAGGAACAAAACCAACGAAAGGTGCTAGCACAGTCATATTATCCTGGAGAGGGAGACTTCCTGAGGGCTGATCAACTATATAATCACTACCTAGAGAGTGGGGCTGGACTCTACCACAAAAGATTGATCCTCTCCTCTGAAGTATCCATAAGCCACCCTGTCAAAGTTCAGCCTGCACATGGCCCAAGAGGAAATCATGGCTTGTTTCCCCAATGACACTCTGGACCTGATCAAAACCTACACCTTCCGGGCCCAGTTCTGAATTATAGGACTCGAATCCAAATTGTTCATTCCTCAGAGTGCATACAGGAAACAGAACCAGCCAGCAGGGAATCAGTATTTATCGTTTTTCGGGAATCAAGTAAAATGTTAAGTAGAGAAACTTACCTGTTTTCTAAAAAAGGGATTTCAAGGAACTCTTTAAAAAGCTTTTGACAGAGCCCAGGCATGGTGGCTCACGACTATAATCACAGCTCTTTGGGAGGCTGTGACAGGCAGATTACTTGAGGTCAGGAGTTCAAGACCAGCCTGGGCAACATGGCCAAACCTTGTCTCTACTAAAAATACAAAAATTAGCCAGGCGTGGTGGTGGACACCTAAAATCCTGGCTATTACTTGGGAGGCTGAGGCATGAGAATTGCTTGAACCAGGAGGCAGAGACTGCAGTAAGCCGAGATTGTGCCACTGTACTGCAGCCTGGGTGACACAGAGAGACTCTGTCTCAAAAAAAAAAAAAAAAAAAACACAGTTTTTGACAGAGAACTTTACTAATTGTAAGTATGGAAGTAAGTAAGTACACAGGCCTTTTACATTATTATTGCTGAACAGACCCAAAAGAAAAAATATATGTATTTTAGATCAGGCATGGTAGTTCACGCCTGTAATCCTAGCACTTAGGAAGGCCGAGACAGGCAGATCACTTGAGGTCAGGAGTTCGAGACCAGCCAGGCCAACATGGTGAAGCCCCATCTCTACTCAAAATACAAAAATGAGCTGGTACAGTGGCATGCACCTATAGTCTCAGCTATTCAGGAGGCTGAGGTGCAAGAATCACTTGAACCCAGGATGTGGCAGTTGCAATGAGCCGAGATTTGCACCACTGCACTCCAGAAGAGAGCAAGACTTCATCTCAAAAAAACAAAAAAAAAAAAAATTTTAGGGCCGAGCACAGTGGCTCACACTTGTAATTCCAGGACTAGGAGGTTGAGGCAGGCAGCTCACTTGAGGCCACGAGTTTGAGACCAGCATGGCGAACATGGCGAAACCCCGTCTCTACTAAAAATACAAAAAACTTAGCTGGGTGTGGTGGTGCGCACCTGCAGTCCCAGCGACTAGGGAGGCTGAGGCACAAGAATCGCTTGAACCTGGGAGGCAGAGGTTGCAGTGAGTCAAGATCACACCACTGCACTCCAGCCTGGGGAACAGAGTGAAACTCTGTCTCAAAAAAAAAAAATTTTTGAAATATGTTTATATTAATAGAAAATTCCCAATTAATACAGTCCTCAATATTTCAGAATTTGTGATTGTTTATGGTTTGGTTTCAAGACTATCTTTTTACTCTCTAGACGAAAGTAGTTTCCTAAGAAAATTAACAGTGTAAACAAATGATTTGAAGCACCACAGAAACATCTGTTTACATTCAGATAATTAATATGCTAATTTTTATCTGTTAAATTAAAGCAGGTTACCTAAGAGCTTTTCAAAATAATATTTATTTAACCTAATAATAATGAGTATATGTAGTTGAAGTAATAAATTGGACATGTTTTAAGACATCCTTCAATTTCAGCCTTCTACTAAATCAAACCAATTTTCATACTTTACTTTCAATTATGGAGGTTTTACATATCAACAAAACAAAACTCTATTGAGATAGAAAACAAACAAATATATCCAGTATTACCTTTGATAGTTTCCATTCCCAACTATCACCTATCTGTTGTGAATGTTTAATGAATTCTGCACAACAACGTTGAAATGTTTTTTCTCCAATGAACTCATCTTCTTCCATGTTAAATAACTGCAATATAAAAACTAAGTATTAGCATAAACTTTAGAATGATATCGAAAGGAATTCTGCTAATTTATTTATTTCTGGCAATAAACCAAAATTTGGGATGTAGAATGGAAAATAACCTCAAGGCCACTAAAAAATGGTTTTGGCCAGGCGTGGTGGCTCACACCTGTAATCCCAGCAATTTGGGAGGCCAAAGCAGGAGGACAGCTTGAAGCCAGAAGTTCAAGACCAGCCTGGTAAACATAGCAAGACTCCATCTACATAAAAACTAAAAAATAAGTTAGCCAGGTATTGTGGTGCACACCTGTAGTCTCATCTATTCAGAAGGCTGAGGCAGGAGGATCGCTTGAGACCAGGAATTCAAGGCTGCAGTTAGCTATGATCATGCCACTCTACTCCAGCCTGGGTGATAGAGTGAGATCCCATCTCAAAAAAAAAAAGCATTGTTGTTTTTCTATCTTTCTCACCTTATCCCCATTTTTGCTGTTGTTGTTTTTATTTTTGTTGTTGTTTTTGAGACAAAATTTCGCTCTGTCACCCAGGCTGGAGTGCAATGGCACAATCCTGACTCACTGCAACCTCCACCTCCCAGGTTCAAGCAATTCTCCCACCTCAGCCTCTCAAGTAGTTGGGATTACATTTGCACACAACCACATCCAGCTAATTTTTGTATTCTTATTAGAGACAGGGTTTCACCATGTTGCCCAGGATGGTCTTAAACTCCTGACCTCAAGCAATACGCCTGCCTTGGCTTCCCAGAGTGCTGGGATTACAGGTGTGAGCCACCGCACCCAGCTTGTTTCTGTTTTTATATTCCTGTTTCTATATCTTTGGTGCTTAGCATAGTAAACATTCCAGATGCCTTTTTTCAACTGAATTAAAATCACATAAACTGCAAGGATTTTAAACCCATCTGGCTCCAAGGCCAATGACCTGTCTATACTAGCTAATTCTGATTATTCAAATTTAGTATAATCTATGCAAGAATTTGCTCATTCATCCAACAAATACATATTGAATATCTACTAAGTAGCAGGCACTGTGAATAAGTAAAGGTTAGGTATACAACAATGAAAAAATTAATAGTCCTTGCCTTGTAAGAGCTCATATTCTAACAAAGGGAGATAAAAAATGCAAATATTATAGTAGAAACTCTCTTATCCAACCTCCATTTAACCAACTTGCCAGATTAATCAACACTGACTCAGGTCTACAGCATGCTGCTCCTGAAGCACCTCTGCTCCCATCAGTTAACTGTGTGTTCACAAACCATGTTCTCATATCATAAATACATACTATAATTAAATGCTAAACAAACCAAAAACATAAAAGTAAAAAAGAAGTACAACTGTTATTTCTATAACCAATTACCTTGAAAAGACTCAATAAAAGTGAGTCTATGAAAAATAAACCGCTATTGAACTAGATATGGACAATACAACTGAAAAGACTGGTGGGAGATAGGGAAGAGAAAAGATTCCAAGCTTTCTGCCTTTAGGTGGTGGTAAACTGAGTTAAGACAGAGGTCTCTGGAGGAATAGCAGTTTTGGGAAGAGAGATGGGTTTAATTTGGCCATACTGAGTTTGAATTTGAAATGCCCATGGAATGCCGAAGTAAAGGGGTCTAGCAGGCATTTTTGAGGTGTGTCTTCAACTCAGAAGGAAAGAGAAATCTGAGCTGGAAATACTGATTCTACATCAACATTATGTAGACGGTAACAGAACCCATTTCATCAATCAGCAAGAGAACACAAAACTAGAATAGGAAGAGAAGACTGATATGGTGCAGCCAGAGGGAATTTTTCCAACTGTATGATGTCCCTGACATATACTGAAAGATACTAAATCAAAGAAAAATTAACTTTCATTCATAAAGAATACTAATATACTTAAATTTTTAAAATTCCAACAAACTCTTACTTAATAACAAAACTGAACAAAGTAAGCCTAAGCCCTCCAGTTACTTGAGGTTTACTGAAGTATTGAAAATACTTAAACATAAAATTTCACTCAATAGCCATAGTTTATCTAATTAACAGCACTGTGCTACAAGCAAGATGACTGAACATCAAAACACTAATTAATATTTGGTTGAATACTTTTTAAATTATCTAAGGACTAGGATTGCTGAAGGATGCTAAATACAATAATACAAACACTTACGGCTTGATTACAAAATTAGGAAGTATACTATGCTAAAAAGATATCCATCTCAACTCGATTCATCATAATGTATCATAATGAAATATCATGGAATAATTATTGTTTCTTTGCTCAAGCAAGAATATTTCAACTCAAAAATGTAAATATAATTCAATCAACATTTTTATACATACTTTTCAAGTTGTAATACTTTCTGGTCCTCTACCAAGTTCATAAACTACTAGAGGCAGAAATTAGAATCTGAGAACTTCCTATTATGAGATGGCTGAAAACATGGCTAAAAATGGAAATAACCACAAATGTGGTTTATTAAGCAATAATGGCAAGAATAATCCTTATTTTGCAAATGAAAAACCTTAAATATGTGAACTGCCTATGTTTCCAGACTTAAGTTAACTTAAACTAAATTCAGACTAGAGGTGACGACAGTCACTCAAATGAACTCTCAGTAAAAAGATGAATTTCAATTCTCATCTCATCCTAAACAATGACCCTCTCATGTCTTGTTGTTAGTAAAAGTTAGAAATGTCAGCACTCCTCGTGTCATAAAGTATAAGTTGTTAATACATCTATTTTGCTTTAGTCTTACTTTGGCTAAAGAGCTATTTGATTTTTTTTTTTTTTGTAACATTCAATCAAAACCTTTTTCTAACTGCTTTAGCAGAGACTAAAGATTGGAAAGACAGAATAATTTTCCTCACCAAGTGAGGGTAGTCTTTCCAAACTATAAGTTCGCCCTTAGACTAGAAGCATAGAAGAAGCTTATTCTGCTGCTGTTCACGTATATCTTTCCAGAAAAGCAGCCTCAGTGAATTCTAACACTGTATATAATCATTGTTTAAATGATCCTTTTTAATTGAAAACAATTTTTTCACTACCACTCTCCATATTTTTTAATGTGATTTTTAATCTAATGTGTGTGAAACTAATTCTTTGTTATTTTTTTTGTTGGAGACATTGTTTTTGATGAATCTATAAATCAATGTATATCAGAGTCATAATGGGACTAAAACAATATAAGAAATATAACTAAATTTCCCAGAACTTAAGATCATTTACAAAAATGTGATTACCACAGAACATGTTATGCATACATTTAAACATTAAAAATCATTTTTGACTAATAAAGTAGGCAACTTCCTGAATACTTGTCCCTTCTAGCAACAATTCCACATTATTTATAACTCTAAGTGTGGACTCTTTAAAAAAAAAATGCAATATTAGCTAGGAGAGTTAAATGTCAACCCACTACTTTTATGGCAATTTGGCTTGAATTCATTTAGATTAATTTAATCACTTACCTGGCAAGGTCCTTAAGCAGTGGTCCTCAAATTTTAGAAAGCAAGGAAGCACCCACAGTGCAAATTTAAATGATCCTAAGCCTTGGCCAGAAAGATAACCTGATAACCTAAAAGATAACCTAAAAGACTAGCATGATCCCTAGACAAAAGATGAATCATTTTGACAGGGCTGGTAAAAGACCTGGATTTCAAGACATTTGGCAGCCTGGGTGGGACACATAAGGCCTGGTCCTGGGCAATCCAGTAAGATAGCAGAGATACATCAAAAGAGAAGTGGATCAGTCCTGACAACAGATGACCAGCAGGGCTCAATTCTCCCTCCTTGCCTTCCCATTGGAATACATATTCCAAATCAATGTTTAAATGAGAGGCAATAGTATTAGGAAATAAGGAAATAATGGGGTATGACCTTGGTCAAAAATATCCAACAAATAAGAAAAAACAGAAAACAGCAGTGGCTCACGACTATAATCCCAGAATTTTGGGAGGCCAAGGTGGGTAGATCATGTGAAGGCAGCAGTTCGAGACCAGCCTGCCCAACATGGTGAAACCCCATCTCTATGAAAAATACAAAAATCAGCTGGGCATGGTGGCAGGTGCCTGTGATCCCAGCTACTTGGGAGGCTGAGGCAGGAGAATCACTTAAACCCGGGCAGTGGAAGTTGCAGTGAGCTGAGATCACGCTATTGCACTCCAGCTTGGGCAACAGAACGAGACTCCGTCTCAAAAAAAAAAAAAAAAAAAAAAAGATCAACACAATATCAGAAGCTATAAACAGTGCCAGGCTGAATTCAGATGATTGCTGAATATAGCAAATTGTCTTTAAAATATACTACCAAGCACCATATTTTTCTTTTGGAAAATAGGTAAATGGTAGGACATTTTTGTAATGAAAGACATATTCCCTTTTCTTCTTGCAAAAGTCTTTGTTCAGAGATGAGACTAATGTGCCTTATTTCCACAAGTTTTTTCATTCATTTACTCAGTACCTACGATACCCTAGTACTTGCTGTGAGTGTCCTCCTAGAAAAGAATGTCAAACTTCCTGGGAAAACTAAGGAAGACTCCAAAACTTGGAGTTCTGAAGACATGAATTAAATTCTTAAAGACCTAAATTTTGAAATTTGAGTAAGGGCCAACTAGGTGGAGACAAAACCACTCCAAAAAGATGGAGGAGTTCCTGCGAAGACAGGGTCTGAAAAGAATGCAAGGATTCAAAATAAAACAAATGGCAGCGGATGGAGCATAGCTTGAGCGGAGTCGACTCTGGGCAAATAAGGTCCAATGGTTCCCGGTTTTATGGGGAACCCACTCTCCAAAGGACCGCTTGGAAATAAATGGGATCATATTGGATTGTCAAAAAGAAAGGAAGTTATAGTTTGCCAATGCCATTTAGTGCTGAGGGACCAGGTAAAATAAACATCCTACAATGTGCAATCCACACAGTGAAGAGTTGTCCATAAAAATGCCAGTAGAGTCCCCTTTGAGAAATACTGGGAAGAGATAAGGAATTAACGAAATCTAGAGAATTTAGCTCTAGGTACTCAGAATGTCCTTTAAAATCTGCGATCACAACCTCCATTTCACTCACTAAATATTTACTAAGTGCTAAAAGATAAACTAAGGCACATTAAAATTTTAAAGAGTTTATTTGAGGTCAGGCACGGTAATCCCAGCACTCTGGGAGGCCAAGGCAGGTGGATTGCTTGAGCCCAGGAATTTGAGACCAGCCTGGACAACATGGTGAGATGCCACCTCTACAAAAAATACAAAAACTATCCTGGCATAGTGGTGCATACCTATAGTCCCAGCTACTTGGGAGGCTGAGATAGGCAGATAGCTTGCACCCAGGAAATCGAGGCTGCAGTAAGCCATAATTGCACTACTGCCCTCCAGCCTGGGTGACACAGCAAGTTCCTGTCTCAAAAAAACAAAAACAAGAAAATGTTTATAGCTGGCGCAGTGGCTCACCCCTGTAATCCCAGCACTTTGGGAAGCTGAGGCAGGCAGATCATCTCAGTCGAGAGTTCAAGACCAGCCTAACCAATATGGAGAAACCTCATCTCTACTAAAAACGTAAAATACCGGGCATGGTGGCACATGCCTGTAGTCCCAGTTATTTAGGAGGCTGAGAATTGCTTGAACTCAGGAGGCAGAGGTTGCAGTGAGCCCAGATCACACCACTGCACTTCAGCCTGGCAACAGATGGAAACTCCGACTCAAAAAAAGAAAACAAACAAACAAAAAAAAAAAAAACCATTCATTTGAACAGACAATGGTTAACCCATTTACGCTGGAGGCTGTGTGACAAATCAGACCTTGGCAATGACCTTGAGCAGAATATAAATAATTTCTACAAGCTTAGTGTTCCAATAATGGAACACTAGGCATATTAATGAATTGTGCAGCTCCAGAATGCAAGCAATTTGGCGCTGCACCAAAGGGACACAATTAGAAGGCTTTTGAGGCCGGGGGCGGTGGCTTACGCCTGTAATCCTAGCACTTTGGGAGGCCAAGGTAGGTGGATCACCTGAGGTCAGGAGTTTGAGATCAGCCTGGCCATCATGGTGAAACCCCAACCTTTTCATAAAAAAAAAAAAAAAAAGAAGGCTTTTGAAGGTTTTTGTAGAGTGAACACAGAAGCAAGACCAAGAAAATACATGATTGGTCAAAGCGGAGTAGCCTTATTTGGATCATTCCTGTAAGTTGATGGTTAGTTAGTTGGTGCTTTCTGATTGGTTAGGCTAAAGTTTCGCTTTCCTAGAATACAACCATTTATACTGAGTTGGGTGTAAGTTTGCTTATGTAGGAACCCAGGGCACTGGAGGCTCTGCAAGCAATGGCCTCCCAATTAATTATTTTAACACAGAAATCTATGTTTTTGCTGGGCAATAAACATGTTTACTTCTGTCCTTTGACCATCATGAAGCTCAGAACCTTGTGGCCTACCTTTAATAATTGTATAATATTTCACAGTATATTTTTAGTTATAACTCACCCTAATCACATCTTTCTATTCACGCTTCATATTTTCATGATCTTGATTTCTCTTTATTTTGTATGTTATTATATATCATATGGTTTATAAGCTACCTCAAATACTTTTGGAACAAAATAGAGTATAAATTTAAAACTATAAGCTACAAAATTAAAAAATTGGGAAAAAAAACTAGATGTAAGATGGGAAGAAAAAATATATTACACTGAGCCCCCAGAGCATCCTGAGAGGTTTAAGAGTTTTTTTTTTTTAAGGGGAGGGGAGTCTTACTATGTCACCCAGACCGAAATGCAGTGGTACCATCTCAGCAAACTGCAACCTCTACCACCCCCGTTCAAGTGATCCTTCCACCTCAGCCTTTTGAGTAGCTGGGACCACACATGTGCACTACCATGCCCAGCTAATTTTCTGCGTTTTTTATAGAGACAGGAGTTTGCCATGTTGCCCAGGCTGGTCTCGAACTCCTCAGCTCAGGTGATTGTCTGCCTCGGCCGCCCAAAGTGCTGTGATTACAGGCATGAGCCACTGTACCCAGCCTCAGTTTAAGAGACTTTAAAAAAGTATAATACACAGTCTTTGCCTTCAATTGTTTGTAATCGATTTTTTTTTTCAGAATACACATTCTTCTCAAAGTAATCAAATTTTTAAGATTCAAATTGAAAAGAACATCAGAGAATAATGGATAATAAAAAAACTGATAAACTGTACAACCTGTTTAAAGAATTAGTATGGATTAAAATAATTAAAATCACACGTATTACTATGTATTAAGAACTATGGCAACAAATCCTCATAGCAACTTTTTGAGATAAATTACTAGGATTTTCTTTATTTTATAGATAAGGAAATTGAGACAGAGAGAGGGTAACTTGTTCAAGGTAACACAGCTGTTAAGTGTAGCAATTTGACCTAAGACAGCCTGGAACCAGAGCATGTGCCCTACAGCAGTTAGATTTCAGCTAATCCTTGAATTATGGTATAGGAGGATATAGAAAGAAAGAGATTGAAGGGATGGGGGCAGTGGCAGTGAACCTCAAACAGATTGAAATGAGGTAGACCAGTAAAGAACCTGAAGAGAGAGTATGGATTGAGAGATATTGGGCATCTAAACTAAACTAAACCAAACTCTTATTATTAAGCACTCTTCCTGGATTTTATAAACCTATGTAATCAGGCAAACCCATTAGAGAAGTCTTGTCTCTGCAGTTTTCAGCAACCATTCCCTAAACAGGATTCCTTCAAGTATAGCTTATTCGCCTATTCTCCATTCCCCAACTTTCTAATTGCTTTATTATACTCAGGCCGATTGTCCCCTCAAAACATTTGTTATCAATAGATAATCAACAAATGATCTCTATGGCTTTTTTTTTTTTCTTAAGGTTCCCTGATTATATGTGTGATTCAAATACAAACTCCTGAGTCCCAAACACATCTCTAGGCTTCAAAGATAATAACCAAATCAAGCCCATCTTAAGAAATCTTTTGTAAGCTTTACCCTACTTATTTTTCCTAAAGGACTGCTTTACCTTTCTCAGAAATTTATTACACAACAGGAACTACTGTCAACATATAGTTTGTCCCAACACATTATACCTAACTTGAATGGCCCACCATGTAGCAAAACCTCAGTTAACCTTATCCTAAATAAAACAGAAGGTGGCAAGGGAAAAGCAGGGCACAGAGAATATAAACTTTTGACACTCGCATTCAAACGTATGCAGTTTAGAACTACTATTTCAACTAATTTATTCAATTTAAAATATCAATAACAACTTTTAAACTGCAATTTGCAAGACTTTAATTTCTCAATACTCAGGACTTATTTTTTGGTCAAGGTTCTGCAACATTTCCTCTGGTCAATATTTAACCCTTCGGAAGCAATGAGAAACGATTCTACATGGGATCCTATGATGTATTTGAGTACACACAGGGTCTGTGTTCTCCGATCCTGAGAAGCATAAACTTGTTTTTGCCACTAAAGAATAGAGACCATCGTCCAATAACAAAAGTTATAAATATGACTCAAAGTGAACCTGCGACAAAGACTTATTAAACTCACAATGGAACAAGCTGAGTGGCTTAGCGCACCCAGAAGCATTTGAGGAACTGAGTACAAACACTGAAGAAAAAATGATGGCATAAGTTTAATAGGTTAGATAGAAAAATGGTTAATAGCCTACAAGGCAATAAAACTACAACCTTAAGGAGTACTGTACTTTTTTCTCTCCCACTCAGAAATAATTTGCATCTCTAGCAATCAAAGATGTTAACTACAAAGCCTAGGCCCTAATCAGTATCATCATGCCAAACAAAATACAGTCCCCTAGAAATCTAAACCATCTTCAGATGGGCCTGTTAAATAGGCTTCATTTTGACTCTAAAAAGACACGTTATCATCCTTTTGCCTTATTTCCAATACTGTTGTAATTTTATCGCCACTAAAAGTTTCTATAAAGCTGTCAACTATTATCATTCTCCCGCCCTCCCCGCCAATTCATGATTTTATAGGTTATCTTGAGGTATTTTTTAAAAAAGAAAAACCTGTTGGCTCTAAATATCAGGTTATTTCTCCTAATACTTAATGAATCAGAAACTTCAAATTAATTTGCACTCAGCCACTGGAAGCCCCAGTAATTTAATACTCTTTGTTTCAACATCGCATGGTCAAAGACTTGCTATTTACTATCAGTATGTGGATTTTAAACACAAGACAGTAACTACCCACTTCGAGGGTGCCGCAGCCTTTGGGTAGTGGCCCAGGAGCGCTGGTGACACCAGGTGCGCGACAAGGGGCGGATCCGAGGGGAAACAGTGTCCTCGCCCTTCCCCGCTAGCCCCAAGCTCCGAGCGGTGCGGCTAGCACAGGCCTGCAGTTGAGGGGCCGCTTCCCCAGCCTTTTGTTCGGGGCTGGGCTGTTTCCCGCCTACCCGCGCGCGCCCTTCCTCCCTGTACTAGGAGTAGGGCGAGAACCGTGTGGCAGCAGAGCCGGAAGTAGGCGACCGGCAAGGACTGTGGGAATACTCACCCGGCTCCGCTCGGCCCCTGACCCCGCAGCCCAGCCCGGCGAGGGCGGGGCAACGAAGCCAAGGGGAGGAGAGCCGGGGAGAGGGACTCAGCTTCCTGCGAAGCCACCGCCGCGCCGGCGGCCCTAGGGAGCTGAATGATGGGGCTGTGGGGACCTCGAGGGCGGTGGATGAGCATAGCCAGCGCACCTCCAGGCCAACCAGAAGCGACCGTGGCCTGTTTCTGTCAGCGCCGCCGGCGGCCGAAACGGAGCGTGTGCACATGCGCCTTCCCGCGCGCCGTGGGGGCAGCCTAGTGCAGGCCGGTGACGTGATCCGCCGCGCGCTCCGGGCAGGGGTGGGGCTGGGACCCAGGCCAGTACTGGGACGGGGTGGAGAGGTGGAAAGCGAGACCTCCCCTCCGCCCGGGTCCACCATTGCCAAGGCCCCGCCTCTCGCTTCGCCGGTAGCTCTCACCCCCCTCCCACCGCCACTTCCCACCGAACGCACGCGGTGCCCTCCGCGGAGCACAAAGACGGCACGTTTAGGGGAAAGCGGGTTACTAGCATCTCCCTAAAAGGTTGGAGAGCCATACCAGCATGCACACACTACAAAAAGTCCTTTAAACACAACAGTTAAGCACAAGCATGGCTACCCCTTGAAAACTTACGGATGGAGGGAGAAGTTAGGAATTCGAAAATTGACAATAGTACCATCTGTGGCACATATCTCAGAGGAGGGAAAAAAAAAAAAAAACCTCTAGCAGCAAAATTAAATTGGGGCGAAACGATGGGGATAAAGACTAGGAAAAAAAAAGTAGGAGTAACAGGGGTGATCGAACTGAAATAGCAGACATCTGAAAGAAAACTAGCATCTGCTCCTTTTAACAACAGAGTTAAATTTGTTAGAAATGAAAGGAAAAAAATGCAGGCGAAGAAGTGAAAGGAAAACCTGCCTTCAAACTACATGGCGTGGTTTTGATCTTGTACTACAGTTGTGTAAGATGTCACCATTCGAGGAAACTAGGTGATAGGTACATGGGACTCTAGGTGTTGTAGTATTTTTGCAATTTCCTGTGTCTATAATGATTTCCAAATAATAAGTATTTTTAAAAGAGAGAGAATGCTAATGAGTGGCGACCAGGGCGAAGGCCTGGAGGATAGGGTTGACTTAAAAAGGAGCTTGAGAGCTATACCGTGACTTCTGGTGACGAAACCACTGTTTGTCAAAACCTATGAGGTATAAATTTTACTGCATGTAAAATACTTTAAAACTCAAAATGATGCAACGAATAAAAATGAACTTACCCTAACATTTTTTAGCAACTATGGATATAAAATAATTGGTAACTGCCAATTTAGATTATCCATTTAATTTTTTAAATAACACAAGGCAGTGTGTTGTAAATGAGAGTTTAAGTAGGTGTCTCCATCAACTTTAAGTATTTACCTTAAAAACATATTTCACAAATGAAAACAAGAATGCAGCTGGGCACAGTGGCTCATGCCTGTAATCCCAGCACTTTGGGAGGCCGAATTAGGAGGATCACTTGAGTCCAGGAGTTCGAGACCAGCCTCAGCAACACCGTGGGACCTCATCTCTACAAAATGTTTTAAAAATAAGAATAATTTTTTTTAAATGGATCCATTGTTTTACATTGTATTCAATATTTTAGAAACAGTGCGTCAACTACCATGTTAATTTAAAAAAATATTTTTTGCACTGGAGGTGTTTTAGAGTTTAATAATTCACATGCCAAAAACAAAGAAACTAAAAGAAATAACTCTGTTAACCTCCATGTACTTCCTCTCATCATATCCCTCATGGCAAAGAATGATATTGGCCTAGTTATGTGTTTACCCCATAATTGTATAAAGTGCTTTAAGGCTGCAGTCTGTCATCGTAGCATTTCTAGGCTCAAGCAGAGCTCCTGTACCTCCCCTCTCTGATCACTGAAGTTCACTGAAAAATTTACTCACAAAGGGCAGAGTAATTGGAGGAAAGGCATGCAAGTATATTTAGCATGTATACACGAGAGCCTTCAAAATAAAGACCCAAAGATACAGGAGAAATTGTATGTCCATTTGTACGTCCCACGAAGTATGGACAGCGGTGTAGAAATATGATTGGACAAGAGGGTATGCTCTAATGCTAACAGCCTGAGTGGGGAAACCCAGCAAGGCCTGTCTGTCTAGATTCTTCTTGGCACCTCTGGGCATGCATTCCTTCCTTCTGGGTGTGGGACAGGACCCTCTCTGCAATGAAGGTCTTAGGACCTACAGTCAGAAAAGATAGATCAGATAATTTCTTTACGGCCAGTTTTTACAAAGAAAGACAGGGGATAATTAAAGTAGTATTTCCAGGATTTATGGCCGGCTTTGGGGAAAAGGGGTTCTGATTTCTATGGCCTGCCTAGTTTCTATGGCTAGCCTCAGGGAGAATGGGACTGAGAGACAGGAAGGCAGGAGAAGGTCAGAGAAAAACATTTGCTTCTGAGGCTGCTTCTGAGGGCTTCATTGTGAGGTATTGTTTTCTAGTCCTAATATTCCTAACTAGTAATAAGTATTCGATGAATAAAACAAGGAATTGATCACAAAAAGAGCAAGTTAATTTTTTTTTTTTTCCCAAAAGATGCGGTTTTACCATGATGGCCAGGCTGATCTTGAACTCCTGACCTCAGATGACCCACCCACCTCGGCCTCCCAAAGTGCTAGGATTACAGGCATGAGCCACCGTGCCTGGCCAGAAGTTAAAATTTATTGAATGCTTACCATAGTCCAAAAGCTTTATATGTACATAATCTCATAACTTCATGACATACCCATTCTATATCATCTTAATTATTAAATCCCTTTTAATACTTATTTTATTATATTTTTGTTTCATTTGGACATGTTGTTCATTTCTAAAAAGTCTTACTTCTTTTAGCTTGAGTAAAACCCACAGTGCCCTGATTTTCCTTCCAGCTCTGTGGCTACTCTTTTTTTTTGAGAGAGTCTCGCTCTGTTGCCAGACTAGAATGCAGTAGCACTATTTCGGCTCACTGCAACCTCCACCTCCCAAGTTCAAGCAGTTCTTCTGCCTCAGCCTCTCTAGTAGCTAGGATTACAGGCACCTGCCACCATGCCCAGCTAATTTTTGTATTTTTAGTAGAGACCGGGGTTTCACCAGGTTGGCCTGGATGGTCTTGATCTCCTGACCTCATAATCCACCTGCCTCGGCCTCCCAAAGTGCTGGGATTACAGAAGTGAGCCACCACGCCCAGTTTAGTCACTCTTTCTTTCTTTTTTTTTTTTTTTTTTTTTTTTTTTTTTTTTTTT